CTGAGAAGACGAAGTGAGGACAAACCATTACGCAGGGTCCGTCCCGTCAGCTCCTCTGACCAATGGCGAGGCCAGAGAGCCACAGGCGCAGCGGTCACAGGTGCTCGGTGGAGGAGTAGCTGTTTGCGAGATCCCGCCGACCACACACAGTTCCCACCTCAGACCCGGGGGGGAAGGACCTGCAGCGTGTCCGGGACACACCAGCCTCCAGCAGGACGTGGGCTCTCCCGCCGGCCCACGCCCGCCACTACGGAGTCAACGCCGTGGCCTGCCTCTGAGCGACCCCCTGGGGCGCCTAGAGGCCTCCTGCTTCTACTCCTGCCCCTTCTAAGCCACCTTCCGGAGAGACACCTTGGGGTCTTTTCTTCAAATCTGATCCCTGCAGCTCTCCAAAGAGCTCCCACTGCCTTAATGGTCAAGATCAGGATGGTCACCCTAACCCCGTGGTCGGCAAATTGCGGCTCGCGAGCCACATGCGGCTCTTTGGCCCCTTGAGTGTGGCTCTTCCACAAAATACCACATGCGGGTGCGCAAGTACAGTGCGATTGAAACTTCGTGGCCCGTACGCAGAATCTGAGGGGTCGACCTCAGCGAACGTACCCCCACTTCTTCTAACGCCACTTCTTCAAAATAGACTCGCCCAGGCTGAAAACCGACTTCTGCGCATGGGCCACGAAGATTCAATCGCACTGTACGTGCCTACCCGAACGTGGTATTTTGTGGAAGAGCCACACTCAAGGGGCCAAAGAGCTGCTGTGGCTCACGAGCCGCAGTTTGCCGACCACTGCCCTAACCTGTTCCTGGTCTGCTCTGCCTCCTCCCACAGCCACCGCCACACTGGCCACTGCCCAGGGGCCTTTGCAGCCCGGCGCCCTCAACTAGAAGTCCTTCCCCAGACCATCACGTGGCTGGCACCTCCCACCACGGCAACCTCAGCTCCTGCTCAGAGACCTGTTCTCCACTCTCACCACAGACCACTCAGTCCAAGACTGTGGGGCGCAGCTACGGTGTTCGGACAGGTTCAAGCCTCGGACTGAGGAGAGGGCACAGTCCTTTCACTGCCACGTGCAAGTCCCAGCTTGGAGGGCAGAGCCTTCCCAGCACAGTGATAGCCAACAGCTATAGTTGTAAGCTTGCACCTATGGTCCGAACACGTGGCCCCACATGTCTGAGAGATGTGGGGTTGATAGAGTTCAGGTGCATGTAGTTGAGTAGGATCGAAACCCACGAGAATGTTGTAAACATCTTGATCACGCCCCTACTTTGCCTCGTGGCATCTGCTATAAAATAAAGACACGGCTTGTGGGCGTTGGCACTGTCCATCAGAGGGGCAGCGTCCCGCCGAGACCCAGCTTTCATTCTCTTGTCTGTCTTTTCTAAGCCTTTCATCGCCCCCACTCAGGGTCACTGAACCAGGCTGAGCTGGCATGAGTATGCCATGGCCGTGCCGGCTCCCCACATATGGGGCCGGAACAGGGCCTGAGTTTGGGCTCCCCACACAAGACATATTATACTAGAGGCTACCGTGGAGGCGGCACAGGTTCCCGCCACCTCCGCTGTGCTCGCCAGCCATGAGCCCAGCTTCTGGCTTCGCGCTGCTCCCCCTGTGGGGAGCTCCTGCACTGAGCGCCTGCCCCCTGGTGGTCAGCGCACACCATAGCAACTGGTTGTTCCGCCATTCAGTAGATTTGCATATTAGCCTTTTATTATATAGGATAGGATTCTCAGCTGGACGCACAGACCCTGCAAGACAAGCTCGCTCCTGGAACATAAGCTTAGTGCCAGCCTGCCCACTGGCACACACACTGAATTTCTGAACAAATCGAGCCTGTGGAGTGTGAGAGCTGGCCAGCCCCAACCTCAAGCCTGAGGAAGATGGGCTTGGGCAGGTCCTTGCCAAGGACAGAAGCAGCCTGCACAGGTTCAAAGGAAGAAGAAGCCCCCGGGGAATGTCCATTCATGCCGGGAACAGGCGGGAAGGCTCCTAACAGGTGAGGTCGGCCTGTTGAGGACCTCAGGTCTTACAGGCGGATGAGTCCCATCACCCACACCTTGCACCCCACCCTCTGTATTTACTTTTCCCTGGAGTCTTTCTGTTTGACTACGAGTGGGATCCCACGTCTAGGACAGTGCCTCCAGCATAGATGTGTTTACTCCAGAGCTTCTCTGGGGTGCTCCCCTGCACACCCAATTTATAAGCACTGACCACTGAGTCCCCATGAGCCTCCCAAGCAGGCACGGCTGTCCCTGTTTTTAAGGAGAAAAGAGGGACCCAGAGGACCAGCCATTTTCCCAGGGTCACACAGCTACCAAATGGCAGCTGGACACACAGACACTGATCTGCCAAAAAAAGACCCCCCAACACAAAACGAACAAAACCCTCAAACTTAGGTAATTCACAGTAAACACACAGACGCCAGTGCCACGGATCCCATGTCTGCGCACATGCCCTGAGATACCGAAAGGAAGCGTTGACCTACTAGGTGGACCGGTTAATGATGCGGATTTTCCCCACTAGATGGAGTTACACGTATGTTGATATATATGTGACCTGATATGTATGCTATTTTGTTGTATTGACAACAAGCTTCAAAACTTCATGTCAAAATTTCTGAAGGTGTTAACATCATAGATATTTTTTACGCTTAAAAATGTCAAATTTCATGCCAAAAAAAGAGCATTTGCAGTAAGTTTTAATTCATTACTTTACTTCAGGAAGCTTATGGTGAACATGCTCCATCTCAAGATACTCGTGAACACTGGTTTAAACGCTTTAAAAGTGATGATTTCGATGTGAAAGACAAAGAACGTCCAGGTGAACCGAAAAAGTTTGAAGACCAATCATTATAAGCATTATTGGATGAAGATGTGTGTCAAACTCAAAAACAACTTGCAGAAAGATTCAACATTGCTCAGCAAACAATTCCCGATCATTTACAGCGATGGGAAAGGTTTTAAAGGAAGGAAAATGGGTGCCACATCCACTGAACAAAAGACAAATGGAAAACTGAAAAGTCATCAGTAAAATGTTGCTTCAACGGCACGAAAGTCTTTTTTGCATCGAACTGTGACCTGCCATGAAAAGCGGATTTATGTTGAGAATCCCAAATGCACAAAATCGTGGGTTGATCCAGGTCAACCATCAACATCGACTGCAAGGCCAAATCGCTTCGGAAAGACGACAATGCGTTTGGTGGGACCAGGAAGGTGTGGTGTATTAGGAGCTTCTAAAACCAGGTGAAATCGTTAATACTGATCGCTACCGACAACAAATAATCAATTTGAACCACGCTTTGAATGTGAAACGACCAGAATGGGCCAGAAGACACGGCAAAGTAATTTGGCTTCATGATGACGCACCATCACACACTTCAAAACCAGCTAAAGACCCGTGAAAAGATCCTGCCTGGGAAGATCTGTTACCGCTGTATTCACCCGCCGTGTTCACCAGACCTTGCCCCTTCAGATGACCACTTGATCTGATTGATGGCACACACACTTTCTGAGCAGCACTTCAAAACGTACGGGGACGTGGAAAACTGGGTCTCTGAATGGTCTGCCTCAAAACAGAAAAGTTCTATTAGGACGTATCCACAAATTACCCAAAAGATGGGGGAAATGGGTAGCTAGTGATTGACACTACTTTGAATAAAGCACTTTTGATGTTTCTCTTGAAATTATCGTGTTTTCTTTGATTACAAAACCGCCATTATTAACCGGTGCACCTAGCAGGCACGATCTAGGCGACATCTGGGCATGCTCACTGAGAAGTGGGGGTACAGCAGGATGCTCCTGGCCAGCCAGCACTGAGCACCTTGGATGTTGCGTGTCCCAGGAAGAGCCAGGAGAAGGCCCTGGCGGCGTTAGGATAATCAGCTTTATCTCTAAATCTTGCATTTTGTTGCTTGGCCTGCTGCCTCCGAGTCAGAAGCATATAATCCTGGAAACATCGAGATGATCAGCAGTTTTTTCCCTATTTGAAAAAAAGCAACACATATTCATTACAGAACAATGGGGCCGGAGAATGGAAAAACCCACCCTCCGTCTCCCAGCTAAAGATAACCATGGTGACACACTCGTCAGGCCTCCCCCAGGAGTGTTTTCCAGGCCTTCCTGCCATAAATGTGCATTTGATGTTGGACCGTTCCCTCGAAGACAGCCTTCCACTGAGCTGGTTCCCCGGTAAAGGCGCCGTTTTAAAAGGATCGGCTCCTCTCCACTCTCGCCATCCACACCCTGTGGAAACGTCTCCCCGAGGTCACCGGGTGGGGAGGGAGGTCACTAGGTCAAAGGGCACGCATGCTATTTCGGAAGGCGGGTTGGTTTCCAAGTCCAAAGATTATAACTGATTACTTCATCGCCACCCTCTGACAGGATCTCACTAACCTTTCTCGCGGACACACGGACACACGTGTGTGTCCACGGGCGTGCACACGACAGCCGTGCTGCTGTTCGCAAGCCGGGCCACTGAATGCCTCGGAGTAAAGCCGAGGCAGTGACAGCACCAAAGGCAGGCGTCTTCCACAGGAAGGGCTGCCCGGAACAAACCAGTTCCTTCCAGTAATATCGAGCGTCAGACTCAGACGTGGGCACAGCGTAGGCTCTGGAGCCAGGACACTCGAAAAGCACCCACCTCTACACACTAGGGTGACACTGTGAGACGCTCATGCTCAGAGCGTGACGGTGCTGCCCTACTGCACCCAGGGACGCCAGGCGGGGCACGCTGGGCTCTGTCCTGCCTCGGGGTCCCGCTCCTGCCTTCTCCTCGGCTCCCTCACTGCCGCTGAACAGCACCTGCGCACCTCTAACTGGGTTACAAACGCCCCCGTTTTGGGAAAATGAGCTTCCCCGTGTATCCTGAGATCTGACCGCCGAGGACGTGCCTTGGGGCACATCCACGGGACCCTGAGGCCCACAAGGGAGGCAGAGGACAGGCTCCAGGACAGGTCTCACCACCCCCCAGAGGAGGCCCACCCTCCGCCCGCCCTCCCGGACCTGCTGGCCACTCGGTGGAGAGCAGCCCTGCCCTCGTATGTGGGACAGCAGTGCAGCAGGTCCTATTTTAGGCAGATTTTCCACATTAGAAAGCAAATTGGTGAAGATGACTGTACAGCACACCTCTACTCCTGACAGTCTGTTTAACTCCAAGTCAAACACCAAGGCCGAGATTGAGCACGTCGAGGTCACAGCCGGCCTTCCCCAGGCCTGGGCCCCGCCCCTCACTCCCACACAGCGGGGCAGGGACTCGCTGACCTAATGTTACTGGACAGATAATTCCTCCCCTCGGGGGAAGGCTGGCAAAGCCCATGGCACCTGCCATTTCCAATCTGTGTTTTGAAATGGCAAACAGGGGCCTGTGCCAGGAAGCTGGGGGGCAGTGTGGACGCAATCCACACCCGGAGTGAAACTCCCCAATTCACCCACAGCCTCGCGGAGGCCCCGTTTTACACCAGCAAACCCGGCGCGGCTTCCACCCGAACCATCTCAAAGCCTCTGCTGCGGAAAATAATTGAATTAAAGAGTTGCCATAATTCGTTCAAGTGAGATAGCAGCCAGCCAGCGGGGAGCAGAGACAGTGCTGCTCGGATCTGCCATCTTCTCGGTGAGCAAAGCAAGCAATAGAATGTGGTTCAAAGGACAGATGGGACCCCCTAATTGTCCCCAGATTCCTAGCAGCAGGGGTGGCAACTAAATGGTTTCAATTAAAAGTTAAAGGAACAGGAAAAGTAGGCGGTGAGTTATGCCTGTGCTGATCAGCTCCTTCGGTCGAATCTGGGGGTGGCTCTGCCCCGTTTCAACAGACAGCCCAGTGCCCACGGCCCGTGAGCAGTGAGCCACCCCACCAAGTGGTCGTGACCAGGGGACACAGATCGGTTGGCCAGATGCCCCGTCTTGAACGCCCATGTGAGTCTAATGGAGGCGAGGCTGGACCCAAGCCCCCCCCTGCCCCCCCCGCCCCCCCGGACAGCAGGGAGCAGCGCAAGCCAACACGGGTAGGGGTCACCCCTTCCCAGAAGGTGCAGAACCGCCTGAGGACGGATCTCCGTGCCACTCTGGGCTCAGCACCAACAGAGTTAGTCAATGTGGCTCGAGCACAAGGGCGCCAGGCACGGGGTCAGCATCCACCTGTGCCAGTGACCACTAGCTGGGGGTGGGGGTGTGGCCAGGGACGGACCAGGCCTTGCTCCCCGCTGCAGGTTAGAGCCCTGTCTTGCCGGGCCTTCACCTCCTCAGCCCAACAGTCCTTTCTCAGGCAGCTCTTGGAACAGCACACCCAGAGGCAAAGCAGGAGAATAAACGGAGAGGGGGTCTTGCCCCTAAATACTTGTAGGTTTGGATTTTGTGCCCTTTGTGTGTGTGTGTGTGTGTGTGTGTGTGTGTGTGTGTGTGTACAGTGGGGCCTTGACTTACGAGTTTAATTCATTCCAATGCAAAAAATCGGGTGAGAGACAGCTGGTATCTCAAAAAACTCGTTTAGTCGGGACACTCGTAAGTCAAGGCCCCACTGTATAGCAAAACCAGATAGTAATACATGTTTACCATGATAAAATATCTGGGAATAAAATTTCAATATTCCTTAATTACACAGAACACCGTTAGTTAACTTTTTGTTACTGTACTTAGTATTTCCTGCTCCATCTTCTTTTTAGAGAGCAGGCACTGAACTCAGTTTAAAAGGCAAGAAAAATGCAAAATAAAACAAAATAACAGGGTGATCGCAAAATTCCTGCATGATTTGAGACCAGAGCCTCAGGCATCTCACACGGACGGATCCACAGTCCTTATTTCCCAGCACAAAGCCCACCCAAACCCACCCAAACCCACAGCCAAAGAAAACAAAGGAAGAACAGTTACTAGTTCCCAGAATGCAGATTAAGTCACATGGCTGTTTACGAAACTAAGTGTGGAGAGACCTCCACTCGGTCAAGTTATCTAGACAGAGCTCTGCCTGATAAATTCTCATCTAAGATGACTCACATACATTAAGGTTAAAAAAGAAAGAAAAAGAAAGTTATTTCTATCTCAGGTAAGAAATACAGAAGTCTTCGTAACATGAAACATCTCTCAGAGGTTAGTTTAGCGAAATTAACTAGCAGGTTAATAGGGGGGTAATGCCTGATATACAAGAGTGCCCCAATTTCCTCAGAGAAATTAACATTTCAATCCTGTTTTTATCTAGAAGTCATTAAACTGCACCATGAATTATTGGAACTGTAGGAGCGAATTAACGCTATTCATCAGCGGAGTCCAGGCCCTTCCGAGTGCATCCGTAATGGAAAAGCAGCCCCTCACTCCTATCGCTGCTCATGAACGTACACCAGCTTTGCTTCTCAGTATATAAAACTGTCCTCTCTTCCGTAATTTATATTACCACAAGCTGACTCACATTCTAAACTATTACACGCCTCCAATTAATTTTTGCAGCTTTTGCCGGAAATTTTAATGATAGTAGTGTGTGAACCTGCTGACTATGGACTGCGTGTGCCCTCACATTAATGTTGGCATAATAGCATGATCTGAGCCATGCTTGCTGAGTACCTGGTTGAGGGAATGGGTAAACCAGGTCCACTCGTGGTCCTTTGAAATCCAATGATAAAACTGACTGGGGAGGGAGGAGGAAAAGCCTGCACGGTCCAATCACCCCAACTCCAGGGCTATAACATTTCAGCCAACAGTGAAGACGGGCAACTGTTTGTCTAAGACCTCCATCCTCTCCCTTGGGAGCTAAGAGAGCGATTGCACCCAGATGAGGACGGGGGTCTGAGAAATTCCTCACCTGGTCCAGATGCAGGTGCCCCCCAGTCACACATGCCACAAGCAGGGTCTGCACCCCCCGTGTGTATGAGTGAGCATGTGTGAGGGTCTGCAGGAGTTTGTGTGTGAGCATCTAAGTGTGCTTGAGTGTGCAAGTTCAGTCAGAGATGAGTAGGTCCGGGTGCTGGTAACTCGAAAACAGGCTGTCTGCAATGATTACCTGTGCAAGGTGACTACAGGCGCAGATAAAAGGAACCTGAGGCCACAGTGATGACAGCACAGCAGCCAGTAACCGCCTTCATACAGTGCACACGGAAACCTGGAGACCACCCTGGCCATCAGCCACTGCCAGGGCGTGAGCCGGGTGTGCTCAGTCCTGGGAACAGGTGTGGGCCTGGGCAGGTTGCTCCAGAATCCCAGCCTGTTCTTTACTTGTCCCCACCCCAGCCACACCTGCAGTGCCAGTGGGCCCGGAGCCGGTTTGCTTTTGCTGAACAGAAAGAGACCCACACACACAGAGACTCTGGGGTTTGAGCCCCCCGACCCCTGCGCTGGTCCAGCCTGGGGGCCTGGCTCCTGGGAAGTCCAAGATGCATGTCCTAGTCTGGGCCCACCCGGCTTGGTCTGTGGGGAATGGAGCTCCAAGCCCCACACATGCATCTCAACTGAGAACATTTAGCTTGTCAGGAAGCCTCTTCCTAGAGGCTGTGTGTAAACAAGCTTGAGAGAGGACAGAACACCCATCAAGTCAACAGCCAATCAGGTGCCTTCAACATCAAACCTTTTACCCCCCAAACCGGAACTGTGTGGGGAGCTGGTAATGGAGCAGAGCATTCTGGGTGGGCAGGTCCAACCCAGACCAGGTTCTGATCCTATGCTGCTCCTGCCAAGTGCCAGGAGACGTTGATCAGCCTCCATTATCCATTACACTCAGGAGAAATAAGGGCACTCCCCAAACTGGCAGGACCGCACACACACAGGGAGTGATGGGGCTGTGTGCCCAGACTGACCAGCACGCTCACAGTGCTCAGCTGCGGGGCTTCCGCTTCAGGCCAGTGCGGGCCCAGGCTGGGTCCCCCCCCTCCACCCCCAAAAGCTGCTTCCACCTTTGCCCTCCATGGCCAGGGAAAGCGGTGTATGACCCCAGCGCTCAGGCTACTGAAGGGCCCTCGGTCCTGCCACCAGCTGCTGGGAAAAGCTCCTCCAGGAGGCGGCTCTCCCGGGCGCAGCCGCCCCCCTCCCCCCGCCCGTCGCCCCAGCCCCTCGTGCTTCACAGGAGAAGACGCTACTTCTGGCTGCCCAGGGTTGCACGAAAAAATAAGCTCTCACGTGGCCCAAACCACCGCCTGAGGGCAAGCAAAGGTGCCTCGCTCCCCGGAAATGCAGCATCAACAAGATCGGCAGGGTTCTGGGGGCCCAGGCCCAAGGCCACAGGCTCTGAACCCATCGCTCTAGCCAGTCTGGTCTAGGCTGGGGGTGGGGTGGGCACAAGACTAGAGCCGGCCCACGCTGGCCAGAGGCACCCTCACACTAGAATCCTGCGTGGTCTCAGGCCGGGCCCCTGGGCACCAGAAAAAGGCCCCCAAATTCCACACTGCCAAACCCTGGTGGGGAGGACACGGCTGTGTCGGCAAGGTCACGGAGACCCAGAAAACCTCACTGGCCCAAGAACGGAAGCCATTAGCTGTGTTGCTGGCAAGCACAGATGTTGTCTATATCTAAAAATTCCCAAACAGATCAATTAGCATATTACACAGGATTTACTTCCATTTTCCCTTGACAGATCATAAAAGCCAACACAAGGCTCAGTCTGAAACTGACAAGTGCATGCGGCAGGAGAAGGCCCTATTAAATGGAGACAACAGCAGAAGAAAATGGTATTTATAATGATTAGCCACCTAATTAATTCTAAGAGCAAAATGTCAAAAGCTATAAATCCATTCCTTTGGTAAGGGAAGCTCGACATCGAACAAGGCGCTTCTGCGCTGAGAACGGAGGCCCGGCGTCTCCCCACCTTTGCGCCCAGCAACGTGGCTCCTCTCCCGGAGGCTGGAACTCGGGGCAATGTGTCGCCTCCACACCCCCGCACAGCCCGAAATAGTGGCAATAAATTCTAAAATTAAGGAAGTTTAAATACCACAAACGTGTGCAAATATTAACGGAGTTTTAGGACATGTGCTCACTCCCTCCTGTGACCATCAACTCAGCTTAAAAGGAGGAAATCTCCACCTTGGCCGTTTGCGGGAGAGACATGGAAGAGAATCCGAGACAGCGCAAGGTACACAGCACTGCTCCTCCGGGTCTGGGCACTGTCCTTCCTCGCGGGTTTACAATCTCCCTTTGGGGGCGGGGCGGACGGGCAGAATGGCGAGAACAACACGAAACCAGAACGGATTTCAGAGCTGTCCCTCTTCCCATACTCCCTGAATCCCTTTCCGTGACTGCAAATGGGAGCGTTTACAGGAGAACGTGTTGAATGTAGAAGCGAGGAAGCCGAGGGCACAGAGGCACTGCACCTGATCCCGTGGGCACAGCATCACATTTTAAATGAGATGAGGCTTTCTGAACTTCACCAAACATACTCCATTTCCAAACGGCCTTGTTATTACTAGTATTCTGACTACATTCTCCTTTCCCAGTAGGTGCTTCTTTTATGGCCAGGCTGTTAGTAAAGTAATGTGACATTACCTCATGCCATCAATTGAATCTTGAGAAAAGATTACGGCGATCCAAGGCTCTCACAAGCCCCAGGCTCTGATAATTCCAACCATTATTCAGTGTGAAATTCAAACAGTCTGAATTCATTACCACTGCTTGTTACAAATCTGCATTTTTAGAATTTGCCATAAAATGCAGGCGTCCAGAGCGGTGACCTGGATCTAACCGGCTTTCATGGGAAGCGGCCGAGCTGGCAGGCTCTCCAGCGCTGCTCGCAGATAAAGCCGCTGCGCTGGGCCGCTCCATGCTGACCGGTCACCACCCCAGGGACGGGCTGCACCCGCCTCCACCTCCTGGTCACACAGCATGTCCGCGGAAACTGCAGAGGCTGGGAGCCATCGACAGAAGAGGGGGGACCCGCTCCCACAGAAGGAAGCACATCCGTAAACAGGTGTGCAGGTAGCCAGTCCCACCTGGGAGCAGGCCTTCCTGTCACCCCTCCCTCGCACAAAATGAGTGGAACTTGCAGGGAAAAGGCTCAGGGAACCCCAAACCCTTCCTCCCTGATGAAGAAACATCACCAGCAGCTTGATGGAAAAGGGGGCTGCTTCCCACGTCCAAAGTCCCAGGAGAAAACAGGACAGAACTGTCTGTTATGAGCAAGGAAGTCTAGAGTCCCAGTCACCTTTCACCTGAAGGTTCCTGTAACCTGGACGCAGGCGTCTCGCTGACCCACACAATTCGGCGACGGACCGTTACTGCTCACCCCCATTTCACAGGGGGAACCCGAGTCAGTCAGCGCAGAGGGGTTTAGTCTGCCCAAGGTCAATGCCATCGGCGGGGCCAAGGTCATGCTGCAAGCATTCCTGGCCCTGCCATCAGCCCCCCACCATCACCAAGGCGACGGCCAAGTCTTTGCCTTCCCCACGCACACGAGGAGGATGTGCCAAAGCCGTGGGGCTGCTGGAGGGAGGGAGCGGCCGCTGATGCGGCTCCTGACTAAAGAGCCGGGCTGCTTCCCCGCCAAGCCGAGCGCCGTGTCAATCTGCTGTTTAAACACGCAGGCTTTCCGGCTTTACACAGGCCTCCGCGGTGCTGCCATTTAAGCCCGTGGGAGATCAGAGTACAAATCAATATGAATCCGCCTTCCAAGAGGAAGTTGCAGCCCTTTGCCGCGGTTTAGAGGTCATTTCAGCTGTAATTAGGAAGCAGCAGCGAGTTTCAATTGAATTACGAAAAGCCTGTACAGTGCTCTCAAAGTTACGGTTTTAACAACCGTGGGCCTGGGGCCATCAGTTACGCACGCAGGAAATACCAGCTTCCAAATCTGCAGGGCAGGCAAGGAGGCGGCCGCCATGCTGGGTCCATGCAGGAATCTGATACATACGCCATCTGTCCTTCATCCCAAGGGGCCCGGGGTGATGGACGCCGGAGCCAGTTGGCCCTCCTTGCCGTGCGCAGAATCCCAGCTCCGATGCAGCCCTCGCCCAGGAGGCTGCAAGCACGATGCCCCCAGGAGACAGGAGGGTACAGCCGGGTCCCCAAGGCCCACGGAATTCAAACTCCCAGCCCTGAGTGCAGGCAGGGGAGACAGAGGCACGCTGTTTATGCTTCATTATCTCAGAACACGCGCACCTCCCCAACAGGTAGTGCAACACGCTGGGCTGCCTTCTGTCTGCAGAAAACGCTGCCGGCTAATGTCGCCAGCCCTGCCCTCCAGACAGATGCTGGGATGGGCCCAGCCACGCCAAACCTCCCTGGTCCCATTCATTCAAAACAGTGCTGTGTCTTCCATGATGTGCAGGTCATGTACATAAAATTATGGTGACCATGAGGGCAACGGACAGGGCTTCTGCCTCAGGGAGCTTGGGGAAGCCGCTTTAGGAAGTTCTACGCTAACAGAGCACTGTTCCTTAATCCAAGTTCATTTACAACACCTTCATTAATTTCACCCCAGAGCCAGACACTCGGTGTCCGCCAGGAGACTGGCACCCCGGGTTTCTGTGCTATCAACGAGCAAGGCTCCCACCCTCCTGCCCTCATGGGAGGACCCCAAAGTGCCAGAGGGGCGATGGACACCCAGCAAAGCCAATTCCAGTAGATTACCGATATTAAGATGCAGATGAGGCCGAGGGCACTTGATCTAGACCCCCCAGGACACAGAACCTGCCCTCGTACAGCGCTGTCCCCATAACATCTCGCCCCTGTGCCCTTGCATTGTGGAAGCAATCCACCTCGGCTGCAGAAGGGGCGGGGCGATGGTCACCGTGACCGAGGGGCCATCCAGTAAAGCTGCACTGCCCAGCCCCCAGCGCCCTCCGGAGAGGCAAGGCCGCTCTGAGGCTCTGCCTCCTCCTCAGACCAGGGAAACCAGTCACCCTGCCCGGCTTCAGCTGAATTGTCCAAGGAGGTGCGGGTTACACGGGGCCAGACCAACAAAGGGCTCCTGTCAGTTAAACAATGTATAGCTAGCTGGGCGGAAAGGGAGGCGGCCACAGAGAAGGTGTCGAGTTACTGGGCACGGGAACCTGATATCTTTGCCACGTTTCCTGCAAATCTCCTACATTAAACGGCAGTGCAATACCGTCCAATAAATCAAGGCCCACTCCCAACGCACCCACGGGAGGGAAGCTCACGGGGACATCTGACCCTCAGCTTGGAGAAAGAGCGCAATGGGGGCGCCGAGTGGGAGCAGTTCTGAGGACACATTTATGAAGGCATGGAAATTAAACACCGCAATCAGGCGCCCAGGGCTGCTGTGCATCCTTGGTTTGTTTCCCCGCCACACACATTTATTTCCTATTGTTCTATCTTTCTGCCACATACAATGAACTTCAACAGCTTCTGCGGCCCACCCCGCAGGTTGTTGCTGTTCTTTTAAACAGTATACTGCTGAGAAAGTGATTTGTTTGCTGCTGGTGCCTAAGGAAACCGCATCATGAAATATGTATAAATGTCACCTCTCGGCTGCGTCTCAGGATAAGCACAGGAAAATGTGCCCTTTTATTACCTGCTTACGCAGGAGTCCGCTCAGGGCAGGTATTCTCACGTGTTACCCATGTGCCCACAAAAACCCGTTCAATTACACAGCACTTTCTTTTAAAACCTCCTACTTATCCTTAACTGGTACAAGTCTAGGGGAATTATCTTAATTGCTACGTGGCAAGAATGCATTCAGCTCACCAAGAAGGCTGTATTTTTAACAGCATGGGGCCAGGTGGGAGTTGCCGTTTGCCAAAAATAAATGAGTCAATCAATAAATAAAGCACATGTGTTCTGTGGGTGTTAGAAGCCAGGTAAGGAGGGAGCCATGGGCAACAGGCGTGGGGACACACTCCCACCAGGACAACGGAATTCTCAGCCTTACTTTAGAAAAGGCACTACATCGGGATCCAGAAATTAGAGATGAAAAACCTCAAAGAAGCCAGATTCCCTCAGTACTACATGGATGGTTTCTTGGGCTGTAAAGTGGGTCTTTAGCATCTGTTGCTGAGGAAGCTGCCACTCGAACCCGGGAGGTGGTGTGCGTCCGTCGGTAAGAACCTAGATCAGAGGTTCTCAACCTTCCTGATGCCGCGACCCTTTAATACAGTTCCTCATGTTGTGGTGACCCCCAATTTCCTTGTTACAAATTGAACATAATTAAAGCATAGTGATTAACCACAAAAACAATATGTAATTATATATGTGTTTTCCGATGGTCTTAGGCAACCCCTGTGAAAGGGTCGTTTGACCTCCAAAGGGGTCGCGACCCACAGGTTGAGAACCGCTGGCCTAGAGGGACGTAGAAACTGAAACCGCCTAAAACGAAGACCATGTTAGCAAAACTGCCACTGGTCCAATGCGTGCCGGGAGCAGAGGCTGCAGCGGCGATAACGAAGATAAACCAAACAAAAAGATCCACACACACAACCTTTTCCTCTCGTTAATCACACCCGATTGGAGACCCAACATTTTTTTTTTTTTTACGAGAAAGCTAATTTCCTACCCATTCACACATCCACATCATCAACCTGAAACTTACAGTAAACAGAAAATAATCATTTCCTGCAACAAGGGCAGCCCTGACCCTGGCAGCACTCCCCCCCTTCCCTTTAACACATGCATGCTCCAGGCCTCAGAAACAATGACCATCAGTCCTCGGGCATCCGCCTCTGGTGGTCCCCTAACCTGGGTGCAGTGATCTGAGCATCGCATGTTCATGAATAAAACGGGGTCCCAGCCAGCACCATAAAAATCTTGGAAAAGAGGTGGACCTCCCACCTACCCAGCATCACACCTCGAGGGGGTGCTCAATAATGACCCCCTGCCACCCACCAGGGAAGAGAAGACCACTGTTCCTCCCAAGCAGGGCCCGCAGT